TGAGGCGCGGAGGCTGTGGCCCAGGGCACCTCCCCCCCGGCTTCCCCAAACCCTGCCCGGTCAGACCCGAGGGGGAGGATGGAAACATCGGCCCAACTCTGAGCCCCTCAGGAAGATAACACCCTTCCCGCCCAGTCGCCCTGCGGTCCAGCGGAGGCCACCGACTCGTTCCCTCCAAGTCTCCATCTCCCCGAGCCGGACCGAGCGGAAAAACCAGCGATGGCGGAAACCCTGAGGAAACTGGTCTCCAACGATTTTTTACAAACGATGTACGAGAACCTGGAGCGCTGGCAGAGGGATTACAACGTGAGTCGGCGTGGGAGAGCCTGGGCTGGCTTTCCCTCCTTAAACAGCCCTCCGCGGGGGGTTTTAGTCCTGGCATCGGGGTGCCGCTTTGCAAAGCCCCCGGGATTGTGATTGCGGGAAAGGAAGGACCGGCACGTGTCTGCTGGCGGCGCCTTTTTCTTCCCGCGACGCGAGGCGGCGCTGGGGATGCGCTCCGACCCGAGTGGAGCTGTAGAGAGCGCAACCGCTTTAGTGGTAACCAAGGACGCTGGAGGCCCTAGCAACGGGAAAGGCCTGCGATCTGCCAGGGGTCTGAAGGTCAAGCCCTTCACGCTCCCTCCAGTCGCTTCCGCCAGCAATCCACCTCCCTATCGTCATTCATCTCGAATGTTTTTGTTTGTTTGTTTGTTTTTTACTACACTCCAACCCCTGCTTCTCCGCAAGTCTCTCACTAGGAAGATACCAGGGCTTGCATCAGAATAGATTTTTAAAAGAACACACCCAGTATTTATTATCCAGAAGTGAGTGAAAGGGTCACTTCTCAACATTGTGGGTTTCACTGGTGTGCTGGTCCGCATGGCCTGTAGGCGCAGCTTCAACATCAAGGCAGACTTCAGAAGGCCTGTTGCCAGGGCGTCTGTAAGAGGCCAATATTCTGTCATCGGACCCAGAGCGCTCTTCAAGTCTCTAACCCCCGCCCCACGCGGGCTCCCATTACCCCACGGAGAAGATAGAACTCCAGTGCTAAATTTACTTTACATTTTGGTCCGTCCGTCTTAAATAAGACACTTCCACTCTTAATAGCAAGTAGAACTAACTGCGAGGCAGACAGAGCTGGGGACCGGAATCAACACCCCTAGGTTCTGGGTCTGGTTCTGCTTGGTACTGGCTGAATGACCGTGGCTGTTTATTTAACCTCCCTGGGTCCCAGTGAAAGGGGAGAGACTGGACTAGATCATACATAACGTTCCCTTCGGATCTGTTTGTTGAGTCTACATCTGCTTGTTTCTAAAATCCCACAGAAAAAATGCAACTGGCTGCCGTCCTGCGTCCCTTAGACTTTCCCACTCACCCTTTAACCAGAGCTCCCAGGGTGGGTGGGTAATCCAAGAACAACTACAGCTTTCTCCTGGGCCTTCCTTCCTAGGGTTAGTGTTTATCCCCTTTGTCCTCTTTTAAGAACTCACACTGACGATTCCTTCTCCAAGATTGCAGGAAATTAAGGTTTACCCCTTTATCACAAAGGCCTTGGGTCCCTCCCCTGTCTCCCCGCCCCCCCCCCCTTAAAAGTGCCTACTTGCTGCAAAGTCTCAGAATAATTGTTAGGCCCTATGACTGGAGACATCTCCACGAAGGTCCTGCAGACCCCCTAACCTGTCCCCAAAACAGCATCATTCCTATGCCTCTCACTTGTTTCCAAACCTCCCAACTTCCTCCTCCGGTAATGCCAGCATCAGTGGGACCTTAGTAGATCCAGATGTGATATGGGGCTCAGAAGGGCCTTTAGATGACCCTTGGCATCTCCACCGCCCTCAACATCTATCAGCCAGATGTTAAAACTGCCTCCTGCCCTGCCAGGCAGACTCTCTCATCCAAACTCTATAGAGTCTGCTTCTGCCAGATTTGTAAAACCCAAAGCAAATCTGACCATGTCATACCCAAGCTCCTTCACTCGCTCTGCTAAATCTTTCAGGGATGGGATGAAGCCCAGAGGCCATGTGACGAATAAAGCCTTTGCTATTTGGTCCCTGGATCCTGTATTCCACTTTCCCCTATACTATACCTTGTTTCTTGCCCTGTTACCTGCTGTTTCTCCCCTTGAAATGCCCTAACCTCTTACCCCTCACCCATCACTAGTGTGAGTTTTGCCCCTTCAGCAGCTCACTATCCACCCAGAACCCTTAATCAACTGTAAGGTAATGATCTAACCCAGGTGTGTTTCCCATTCTCCCTCCTGCTTCTCCAGCCGGTGAGCTCATTGACAGCAGGCAACATTTCTAAATTTTTATATATTTTTAATATGGTGTTGTGTCTTGAGCTGCCAGCCCAAGTCCTTACATATAATAGAAACTCAATGATTTATGAATGAAGGAATTTTGAGAGTCTGTGCTTTGGAATTAGGAGATAGTATAATTAGTTCATACCTGTGTTTTATTTACCTGTGTGAGTACATGTTTGGTAATGTGACCCTATTGAAAGTTGAGTATCTTGGGCAATGCTTTGTGTTAGAAGTTGCAGCGTGTTGTGACATGTCTTGGGAACAGGAACTGACAGTATATTCTCTTCTGTTATTTAAGTTGTGCAGACAAACATTTGGCAAATATTCCGTTGAGCATGTACTTATACCAGGCATTGGGCAAGGCAAAGGAGCATCTATAATAATAAAAGTGTAATATGCTAATTAGACCGGACGTCCTTCCAGACGATCTTCCGGACAAAGCCGGAGCTGTGAGGGAAGCCCAGGTCCCGAGTGTCTGCTGGCGGCTGGAGGGAAGCCCGGGTCCCAGGTGCTGGATGGAAGCCCGTGCCAGCAGCTGGGGGAAGGAAGGCTTACTCTTGCATGAATTTTGTGCATTGGGCCTCTAGTATAGTAACAATACCCTAATAATACGTTTAATTATTGTGTATCTCCTCTATTCTGCACCTAAGTTAGCTCATGAGATCAACCACCTCCTAAATACAAGCAATGGCGGCTCATATTTGAAATATATTTTCTAAGGGAATGTGACTAATAAGTGGAGAACCAGATTTGAACCAATGTCTGCCTTATTCCTAAAATCACTGCTCCTTTCAATACCAAGTGCCACTTCAAGGCACCAATTATCGAACACTTCTGTCTCTGAGATGCTGAATATGCATTATTTTGATTTAATTCTCTTAACATTCTGCAAGGCATTATCTATTCTTATTTCTGGAGAGGAGATGGGCTCAGAGAGGCAACCTGTGCCGCATCACATAGAACTTGTGACAAGTGGCAAAGCTGAGACACTGCTTCAGGTCGGCATGACCCCTGGTACGTGGCATGGTCTAGCCAGGGGGCAGAAGGCTGAAAGGGGAATTGAAGGTCAGTGTTACAAGTGCAGGAGGTAAACAGCAAGGGCAGGGAGCTGCTGGTTCAACAAGGAAGGAATGGAGATAGCTGTGTAAGCTGTGTGCTCCAAATGTTCTAATCAAATTCAGTATTGGGCTAAGTCACTCATTCATTTATTCACTCATCCATCAAATATTGTTGGGCCCTTCGATTTGCTATGGATACGAGTGGCAATTGATACAAACACGAGACATGCAAAATCATTTAAAAAAAAACACATAGTCTTCTTAGGAGAAAGGGAGAGACAGAGAAACAAATGGCTAAAACAGAAATAAATGCTACAACAGAGCTCGTCACCAGGTGTTATTTACCCAGCATGGAAAAGAAGCCAGCAGCTCCCCTAGTAATGATGCGTCCATTCTATCCAAACTCCTTGGAAGGCCTGCTGACCTCTCTGACCTCCTGCGGTCACCTTGATAACCTACTTTTGGTTCTCAAGGTCACCAAACTCTTTTTGTTATATGGCCTTTGCCCCTGCTGTTCCCACAACCCGACAAACTCCCTCTCTAGCCTCTGCATTCAGGACTTCGCCGACCTCTCTGACCTCCTGCGGTCACCTTGGGAATCTACTTTTGGTTCTCAAAGTCACCAAACTCCTTTTTGTCATATGGCCTTTGCCCCTGCTGTTCCCACAACCCGACAAACTCCCTCTCTAGCCTCTGCATTCAGGACTTAACTCAGGGTCTCCTCATCAGAGAGGCCTTCCCTAACCACCCTTCTCATTCCCACTTTGCCACATCATCTAGTCCTCCCTCTACTCCCAGCAATAATCACCATCTAAAAGTCAGTATCCAGGGGGCGGTGAAAGCATGAGTGGGGATGGGGGTTGGGAGGCAATGGCGGAATAAGGACACATATGTTATACCTTAATCAACAAAGAAAAAAACATATAAAAACAATAAAAAAGAAAAAAACATAAAAAAATGAAAGTCAGTATCGTTTAGTGGTTAAGAGCATGAGATCTGGAACTAGGCAGCTAAGGTTCTGACCTCAGTTCTGACATTTTATTAGCTAAGTAATCTTGGGCAAGTTATTTGATTTCTATGCATCTCAGATTTCTCATCTGAAGATGGGAATAATAACAATGGTACTTCTATCTCATAGCGTACTATTGTGGGGCTTAACTGAGCTTATATATACAAGCATGAATAATGCCTGGCACTTAGGAGGGATGTAATAAATCCAAAATGAGTGAATTGTCTATGTTCACTCATCCATCTAGTACTTACTGTGTTTGAATATATATAGACTCTAGAATGCAGGGCTGGAAATACAACAGCGAATGATCAGGGCAGGCATAGCCTCTGTCCACAGGGCACTTCCCTTGTGATACCGATATGCATTTTTCTTGTCAACTTTTGGCTAGAGGTCATCTAAACTTTTCTTATCTATTCTAGTTTCTATCCTCCTTGTAAGGCACTTCCTGTCTCGGGATTTATAGTGCCTTATAATAGCTTGAGATGACATATCAGTCTATGCATTTTTACTCCCACATGATTTGTTGGTTGCTTACAGTTATGTCCCTTCCTTTAGTATTAGACTCAATGAGAGGTTTAGCTAATGAGAAAGAGTAGCAGTTCACCAAGGAGATGACAAAAGCAGGATAATAGCGAAAAGACCTACCTCTTGGCTTCTTCATGTTCTGCTCTTACTGCTTAGATGTTCCACAGCCACTTGAACCAACCTTTTCCCCTAGTCCGCCTATTTTCTTCTCACCTAGATTTCACTTCCTCTTGGAAAGAAGTCTTCTCTGACTTTCGAAGACAATGGGCTCTTGAGTAGACCTGTGTTCACCCCCATGGTAAGACTGACTATTCCACTGCAGGATAACTGTCTATCTCTTGTCTCCCCTACTCGTCTGCAAGTGCCATATGGCCTGGCCCATCTTTTTTGTCTTATTCTCCATTATCCTCAACCCAGCAATACTGCTTACTGTTAACAAGTAGTGTTCTTCATGTACATATGGAACTTAGGTAGAGGACAAGAACCAATACAGCAGGTAAGTTAAGGAGCAATGATTCGTACTGTTATAAAAGGCTTATTCACTTTATGAAAGGACTTGTTGCAGGATTCTGTTGAGTAATGAGTCAGGGTTAATGATATTAAAATGACTCCCAAACCTCAGTGGTTTAAGACCCACAAGTACACTTTCTCAATTATGTAACAGTCATTGTAAGTGTTCAATTAGCAGCTTCCCAAATCTTGTGGCTTTATCACCCGCTAAGCCTTTGGGGTCTTCTGCAATTGGCTGGCAGGTGGGGCGAGCAAAAAAGAAGAGAATCCCTCGAGAGGTTTTCTTCAGGGTCACACCCCAAAGTGGCACACATCACCTTCCTTCCCATGGACCTGAGTTCAGTTCCACGGCCCCACAAACAAGCTGGGGAAAGCGCTCTAGCTGTGTGCCCAGGAGGCAAGGTAACCGTGTTTTGGTGAATGCACAGCAGTGCATTCCTGAGCCAGGCAGCCCTGGTATACAGTGAGGCCCTTGTCTACCTGCCATGGGGGTGAAGAATTACACTGATGTCTACTGTTTTGGCTTTGCAGACAAACTCATGTGATCAGAATCTAAGTTTTTGCCTGGAATTCATTGAACAAGTTGCCAAGATGCAGGGACAACTCTTTGGAATCCTCACTACAACAGCTCAAGAAGGTGAGAATGGCCTGTGCTTTCCGATCCGGCCCCCACCCCTTTTCTGTGTGCGCTCTGACAGAGTTGGTGTGCTTGGGTTTCTCTCGAGGACCTGATTTGTGGATTCTTCTAGGAGGACGTTATGATGGTGTGGAAGTAATCAAATCACGCCTTTTGCCTTGGCTGGAGACCGCCTTTACTGCTGCTTCCCTGGGAAAACCTATTGACAGCAAGGTCCCCTCTCTGCAGGTAAGGATGTTAAAGGATTCCCCTTGATTTTCAGCACCATGGTCAGGCTCTGTGAACTCAAACATTCATATGATATGGTTTTGACCTAGAGAGGGACTCAACTCTACTTGGGGAGTTGGGACACAGGCATAAAAGGTGAGTTCCTATTTACAGTACTTTGGGGCATATTGGATTGAATTTTCTCTTAAGACAAACCTGGATTCAAGTGTCAGCTTAGCCTACTCACTAGTGGTACGACCAGGCAAATCAATGAGCCTCAGCCTCCTCAGCTACAAAAAGGGCCTGGGGAGGATCTACATCTGAGACATTGCTTAGCCCACACGAGGCCTTAAATAGTAACTTTTAAATGACAAATTAGTCCTCCAGACAGGGTACCAAGGGGTTCAGGAGAGAAAGAGATTATCAGATGGGGAAAGCTCAGTATTCGGAAAGAGTGAAATACAATTAATTGGAAAATTCCAAGATAAGAAGAAAGCTCAGTTCTGGTAGACTCACAGAGGGTCTCATATTTTGTGGTTGATCTTGGTGGTTTCCATGGACAGTGTCAGTGTCTTAACAGGGGAAGATCAGACTGGAGACAGAACGTATACCTTGCTTAAGGCATTGGCATTACTATATTGGGGTGAGCAAAACATTAGTGACCTTAATTTTAAATGCTTACATGGATCTCCATAAAATTCTTTCCAAAATTAAAGCATGTCGAGCAGGCTGTTCTAAGCACCAGGGTCTTATGAGGTAGTGGCTGAAGGATTCTTCTTTGGAGGTCACTGGACAGAATTCTTGTCCCTCTTCTATAGTCCAGGGGAGGTTGTCTAACCTTTATTTTTTAGTGTCCACATTTGCTCAATGGGGACAATGCTTTTGCTGGCCTAATAGAGTCATTGTGAGAATTAAACGTGATAAGCATGAGAAGCAACAGATATGTGGTAAGTACAATAGTCATCAGTTGTCTTAAAGAAATTCCCCCCCCCCCCCGGGGATTTTCATATTTTGAAATTTTTACCCCCATGCATGTTATTCTGGGTATAGACATATAGGATGATATTTAAATGTCTGTTTTTAAAATCGAGGTATAACTTACCTACAGTGGCATCCATAGGTTGATGAATTGTGACAAATGCACATATCCAGGTAACTCGCACTCCTATCAAGATCTAAAACATTTCCATCACTTCCCAAGCATGCCCCTCTGCCCCCAGGGCAACCACTCCTCTGACTTTTATCTTTCCAGGTTAACTTTGTCTGCCAGTGAACGGAACATACATTATACGCTCATTTGTGCTTGACTTCCTTTGTTCAGCACAATACTTGTGCAACCTGTCTCTGCTATTTCATGTACTCAGACTATTTTTTGACGTGTGTATCTTTCTAGGACACGTTTGAAAGGGAGAGACAGAAAGAGGCTCGAGATCGGGAGATGAAACAATTAGAAGTGGAGCTGAGCTCAACTCATAATCAAATCAACCAGATTCAAGACGAGTAAGAGGAATGCAAGTTATCTTTTCCCCAAAAGAGTTGCTTGTTCTTCATTTAATTTTTAAGTGTGAAAGGAGACTCATGTAAAATGTAGGCATTTGCTAATAAGTAATAAGTAATATGGTGTGTGTGTGTGTGTGTGTGTGTGTGTGTGTGTGTATGTGTGTGTGTTGGGAGTCAGTGTCTTTGAGTTTGGGGCCAGGATTTCCATATGATCCCTAAGGCCCTGGTCCCTTTGGCTCCATTCCTGGAGCCCCCTCTTTTCCATAGGCCTGTTGTCAGCCCATATTTATAAACAGAGGAAGATTGTTATATGAAAATCTATTTTCAGGGAGGGAAATGAGAAAAGATGCAGAGGGAAAGGGTAAAGGAGGGTAAATAGAAAAATTAAGAGAAAGAGAGCAAAGGCAAGATGAAAGCAGGCTGCATGTATTTGTTTGTTGTACTTACTTGGTGGGTGGGACTGAGAGATCAGACTTTTTAAATGATGAATAATTCAAGATTATGGAATAACTATTTGATATCAAAAAGTATTTTAAAAAGTTAAGCAGTGTCAGGCAGCATATCAGATGCCTGGTATGTACAAAACCAGGGTAGCAAGCTCAAGGAATCACTGCAAAGAAAATCGCAAACTTTGGGTCATACTTGAGGAAGATAGACATATGTGTATGAAACTGCACTCAACACACCTAACACCAGCCCATCAAGCAGTAAGGTATTTCTCCTCCCACAGCATCGTTCCATTGCTGACATGTATGGGGCAGCAGGGGATTCTGTTTCTAACTAGTTCAGGCTAATGATGGAATAGGGTATGGCACTCTGCCTTGTTCTCTGATGAGCTTTCCTCATGGAAAACATCTCTACTGACTTAGACAATTGCCTGATTAGAAAATACAAGTTTCTTTCTCAAAATGCATACAATAAATAAGAGTATAAAGATGAAAATCAAAATAAAAAAAGATGAAAATCACCTGTTATCTCATCCCTGTTAATATTTTGGTATATTTTACTCCAGACCTTTTTCTTTGTGTGTGCTTGCATGCATCTCCACACCCCACCTCCCCACATCCATTTTTCTAATTGGAGCCATCATCAATGAGCAGTTTTATAGCTGCAACAAAGTTTACAACTCTAAGGTACAAAAAGGATAATTCCTCTGAATTTCTACAACTCATTTCAACTAATGTCAGCTGATCTGGAGTGGGGCGAGGAGGATCCTTAAATGTGCCACTTCTTTTCTGGTTTATTGTAGTTCTTTTTGTGTAAATATTCAGTTAATTCCAAGTTTAGACTTTCCTTAGGGGCTGTGTTTGCTCTCTCAAGGGGTCTAATTGCCCTCCTGCTTCCTTAGACAGACATCTAGGGGTGAGGGATGCTTGCATGCCCTCCTGGGGCCGGAGGACAGGGGCTTTGGTCGTGTTCTGCCTGCTGGGTTCTTGCCTCAGTTCCTCCTGGACACTGATGTCTTGTGCTGCTGGAGGCTGAGCTGTGGCTTGTCTGGTTAGGTCACCTGGGGGCATTTACTGGCCTCTGCTGCTGATGACCAGGTCTCTCCATTTGCCTATGGTCGCTTGGGAGCTTGCTGATTCTCTCTTTTATCAGTAGCAATAGGAGCCAGGTTCCTACCTCTCTCTCTTGTCACTATGGCTCAGTAGTTAGCTATAAGGGGCACCACGGACTGAGAAAAAAGGACTGTATGCATTTTAAAACTTTTTATTTGGAAGTAATTTCAAATACAGAAAATTTGAAAGAATAGCACTAGGAACACCCATATACCCTTTCACATACCCTTTTCCCTACTTGCTTGATCATGTGTGTGTTTCTCTTTATCTATGTACACGGCCCCTATCCCCCACCGTCCATTTGAAAGTTGCACACTGGAAGGTGCTTGTTGCTTTTCTCTGAATTTCCTAGTTTTGTTTTTGTTATGAACTCAGATGTGGCTCATATTCTATTTTTATTGAAGGCATTACACATGATGAAGGCTGTTCCCCACCTTCTGTGGTAGTCAGCTCTCTCCTCCTTCTCTTACTCTGCCTACCTCTGTCTCTAAAGCCAGGGTGTTACCTGTGGCGGAATGAGTGACCCACCCAAGGAGGTTCCCATGTCTGTCCTCAAGGAGACCAGTCTGGTTGTGACTCAGTTCCAAAGGTGCAGATTCCAATACAGTGCTGAGTGCGGACAGGTCTGCCCAGGCTTGATGAACTCTAGACGGGGAAAGACTGCAATATACTAATTGATTTTCTGCCTGGACTCTGGTTAGGAGTCTCGCTTTTCTGCATTTCCTATACCCAGTCTATTAGGATAGAGTTGAATCTGCCTCCTAAGCATCCCACACACTTGTCCCTTTCTTTCTATTGCACTGCCATTGCCCTGGTTCAAGCTTCTGATACCTCTTGCCTCAACTCATTGCCTTCCAACTGGTTTCCCTGTTCCCATTCTTGCGCTATTGCAAACCATTTCTCACATAGAACATATAGATGTGTTTTTACTTTATTAAGTCATCACTCTGCTTACACGCTGTGAGCAGCCTTCCCAGGGCCCTGCACGATCTGACCCCACCTCTCGCTCCACCCTCATCTCATGTCAGACTCAACTCACCTAGTCTACTGTCCATTTCTTCTTCACTGTGAGGCCCCTGCCTGTGCTCCTTCAGAACAATGGCAGTCTTCCACGGGCTCTTTGCAAGGCTGCCTCTTGAGTATCTTCAGGTCTCAATTTAAATGTGACTTTCTCAGAGTCTGCTCGTGACCACTATACAGCAAAGGGTCTTTCTTCTTCCCCTCCTTAAGTTCCCTTTCACGATGACCTAACAATAGCACTTGCCACAATTCGGAACATTTACACACTTGTTTGCATATTTGTGATCTGATGAACTGCATATTTGTGTTGATGTTTTGACACTGTTGTATCTTTAGCAGCCAGTATTGTGCCTGGCACATAGTAAATTCTCAGTAATTTGATCAATGAATGAATAAGTCCATAATAAAAAATTTAAAAAGCTGTTCATCAGCTTAAAACAATTCTTGGCACATGAATGTTCCTCTTTTCTCTCTGTATGTCAGCCAAGGGTACCAAATTAACATGTATGTTTGCTTATATGTATATGTACTCACACATATATGTCATGTTTTGAGAGGGAAGAAAACCTACTTTATTCCTGCTCATACTGTTTCATTTCTTAGTCTATCTTGTTCTTTTAATTTTCTACAGTTTTCTCTTAATAAAATGTTTATTTTCCTCATATATACTTTAAAAAAACTATAACATATTCACATTTGAATTAGATCACAACAATTTCCTTTCAACCTCCAGTAGGCCTGGAGTCATTGCAACTATGGCTTTGTTTTAGACTTTAGACATTTTGTTCATTAATTTTCAGGGTTGTTTTTGTGTGCGTGTGTGTGTTTTTAAAAAATCTACATTGTGACAGGCACTGTTTTAGGTGCTCGGGATAAAGATATGAATAAAATAAAATCTTTGCCCTCAAGTAGTTCACAGTGTGTTTGTAATGAGGTTGTAAGTGTGAGATGAGTGTGAAAGGAGCCCCAGAGAAGGGGAGACAAACTTTTCTTGAGAGAGTTAAGGGTGGTAGAGAGTAGCACTTGAAGGATGAGGACAATGGTGAGTTTAGATACCATTCGCTCTCTCTTAGCCGCAGGACTACTGTGGTGAAAGCGATGTTCCAGGGAGGAAGGGTCAGCTAAGTCAAGAAACCTTTGCCAACCCATGTCTCTCACTGCACTGGGGCAACTTAATTGAGGACCATTGGTCTTCATCCATTGCCATCCAGTACATTCCCATTTCCTTTTAAATTTAGACAGACGTAAAGAAATAGTATAATTTACTATGACATCTACAATGGAGGGAGTCATTAAAACTAACAGTGACTGAGCTATGCAGGAAACGCAGGAAACTTGTGCTTAGTAAGTGATGGAAGTCAGAGGCAGGAAGACATGAAATAGTTGGTAGTCAAGTATAATTGTGGAGGGCTTTATAGGTGGGCAAATATTTTTTTTTTATATTTAGGAAGTCGAAAAATTAAGTCAAATTCAGCTTTATAGTGCAAAGTAATCAGAATAGGTATTAGTATATTACAGAAAAATGAAGATTTTATAGAGTAAGGCAATGTAGGGACTTGGTATAATTAGAGCAGTGGTTGGAAAACTGCGGCTCGCGAGCCACATGCGGCTCTTTGGCCCCATGAGTGTAGTTCTTCCACAAAATACCGACTTCTGCGCATGGGCCACGAAGTTTCAATCGGACTGTACGTGCACGCCCGCACGTGGTATTTTGTGGAAGAGCCACACTCAAGGGGCCAAAGAGCCACATGTGGCTCGCGAGCCGCAGTTTGCCGACCACTGAATTAGAGCAAATGAATTAGGAGGGTGAGAAGGAGGAATTGAACAAGTATTTTTGTCCTTTACATTTGAATATGAATAATTATTACATAGTCTTTTAGGGGGTAGTAGATTTATAATTTCTTTGTGTTTGACATTGAAGAAGGATGTTAGAATGCTTTTGCATATAATTGCATTATAATATTTGTAATATCATCTGATTGAATGCAGATGTCTTGTAATTTGATCTTGTTTATGTCAAATTTATATCATATGCCAAAAGTTCCCAAGAGAGGAGGAACCTATGCCTTGATTTAGAAAGTCTGCCAATTTTGAAAAATCTGTCTTTAGTTACTGATTTCTCTTACAGTCTGCCTGACTCTCCAAAGACTCTTGAAGCAACCAAGAACAGATCGGCCATATCCCTTTTGGCTGCAGAGGAGGAAATAAATCAGCTAAAAAAGCAGTAAGGAAAAAAATAAAAAAGACAGGAGTGTTGCAGCCTGCTGATTAATCTTTGCATTTCGCTTTTTTGGTGGTCCATTACAATACGAAAGAATCTGTTCACAATCAAAGAGGAAAAGGAACATTATTTTTATTAGTGTTTTATATATTTTTCAAAAACATTACCTATCTACTGGAGAGAATTTCCAAAGCACAGTGTAGTATAAAGGAAACTAAAGACCCTCTCATAATTCCAGAACCAGTTACTGTTGCCATCTGACATTTCTTCCAATTCATACATTAGAAATAGAGTTAAGGCTACAAAATAAGTGTAAGTTTATAACTTTGGACCCCAATTGTTCAGTTAACATTGTTTTTCCCTTTTACTAAACAAACAAACCTTCTGCAGAACTTACTTCTGAATAGGTGCATCATGTTCCATCATTTGGGTGTTTCTTTAATATCAACTATTTACTTTGATACCAATTTTCAGCATTGGAAATAACGTTGTGATGATTTCTGTAGCAAATCTTAGTTAAAATTTCTGGGTACTCTCTAAAGATAAATTTCTAGAAGGGGAAAACAAACACTGATCATTTAAGGTCATATACCTTCCTTGATTTTCATTTTGATTTTCCCTCCATTCCAAAGAGCAAGTAAACATTGTATTTAAAATATAT